CTGTTGCACTTCCCATTATTTCATTGCTCATGATATCTTGTTCCTGCACCCATAGAAGGCCCTCCTCAAAGTACAGCCAGCAATCCTGGACTCCTTTTCCCCTCGGACTTGTGTCTCAGGGGGGACCTGCCTGCCAGTTCCCCGAGTTTGCTGAAGTCTGCTTTTCTGAAGTCCAGTGTCTATTCTGCTGCTTCCTTCCCTCTTTTTAAGATCTTGAACTCTGTTTTTCAATGTGATTTAGCTATAGCTATATAGAGGTAGCTATCTTAGCTATAGATGCTACAGTGGCCACATTCTACTGTGTGTAGCTCCACTTACAACACACGTTCTCACAATATTATCCATTATATTTTCATAGATTCATAGATGTTGGAGGCTGGAAGGTATCTCTCGAGATCATCAGGTCCAGCCCCTCTGTGCTTGGGCAGGAAGACTGCTGGGGTACTTCAGAGGGCTTCCTTCAGAGAGAACATAACTAAGCCAGAAGCTATAACATTACAAGTAATGAAGATATTTAAAATCTTCATTACAAGCAGTCAGTAAGGCTAACTGCACCTTGTCGTGCATCTACAGATGCATCACAAGCAGGTCCAGGGAGGTGATCCTTCCGCTCTATGCAGCATTAGTCAGGCCACAGTTGGAGTACTGCGTCCAGTTCTAGGCGCCGCACTTCAAGAGTGATGTGGCTAGCATTGAGAGGGTCCAGAGGAGAGCCACTCACATGTTCAAGGGGCAGTGGGGCAGGCCCTACAAAGAGAGGCTAAAGGGCTTGAACCTATTCAGCCTCCACAAGAGAAGTCTGAGGGGATCTGGTGGCTGTTTACAAACTCATGGTGGGGGGGACCAGTGGGAACTGGGGGAGGCTCTGTTCCCCTGGGCACCACCCAGGGTTACTAGGAATAAAGGCCACTTTACAGTTAGGGCTGCCAAGCTCCAGAATGGACTCCCAAGGGAGGTGGTGCTCTCTCCTACTTTGGGGGTCTTCAGGAGGAGGCTAGACAGATATTTGGCTGAGGTGTTATAATCCCAGCACCCGTTCCTACCCAGGGCAGCAAATCAGCCCTGATAATTTGTTTAGGTCCCTTCCTACCCTAAGTACTATGATACTATGATTAAGTACTGGTAGTTAAAATTTATGCGGGAATAGTTAAAATTCTTAAGACTTCTTTTCCCATTTAAAGAAATAGTAATTCAATGGATCATTATTCATTAATACAAAAGCATTTTTTTACCTTTATCCACAGTTTTAAAAATCAGTTTTAAATAATCAGTATTATGAAGATTACAGTCTGTACCTATCCTCTTTTTGCAGAAGGTATTACACTCCTCATGACATGACTACAAACATATGGTAAAAGATAATTACCAACTGTACACTAAAGAGAACTTTGAAGCAAAGTATAATGAACAAGTCATGAAACTGGGGTATCAGGCTTAAAAAAGAACATTTTGTACAAGCTGGAATATGAAAGTCAGATTTTCAGTTCTAATATGTATTTTCCGCTCTGGTCAATGGAAGCTACATATATGCATTTGAGAGCCGTATTTGGTAGAAATCTTGCAGAATCCTTATAGGTATGATTGTTAATTAACAGGCCAATATGAGCTGGTCAGCGTGGGTCATGGTCTGGAAATGTAAGTTTTAATGTAGAAGTTTGGGGCCAAATTATATTCTTGCAGGTCAGTGCTGAAACACTGATTCACATTCTTATAATTAAGAACAGAATTTGCTTCATAGTCCAACTATATATGTTAAATATTCTTCAAGAGATGAGATTGTGTAGAAAGTATCATTCATTTCTTTGCATCTTGTTGCTTGTCTCCAAATATTTTTGCACTGCTCAGTACTTTGGACATTTAAAATCAAACACATGACAGATTTGTAAGATCCAAAAATGTCATTTAAGTCTTAAATAATTATATTTTCTAATTTTGCTTGCAGCTGGTGATTATACAGAATGCCTCTGAGAAATTACACTATTTTCTTGTCAACAATTGCTGCTTCTTTACTTGTCACAATTGTTAACAACTTTTGCTTACCAGAATGAATAAGACCAGTTTAATCAATCTCTTCCCTTCATAGAAATGAAATACATTTATGAAAAATATAATATTTTTATCCTGTTCCAGTTTCCTCATTTTTTTTATGACAGACATAAATTAAGTGAAACACACTGATCAGTGTAAATAGTTCCCATAGTAGCCATGACTCCTTCCCCTCCCCCCGCAAAAAAAATCCCTGTAGGTACAGTGCTTCTCTTACTTATTTGGACTTCGGAATGAAATCAGTAGACAAATTGGATGTCAAAAATCCTTTCATCTAAAATAGTAGCAATGAAGGATCATTTATCAACAGTGACTTTTGTAAACTTTTTGCTAGTTCATAATTTTGTTCAGTTGGGAAAGTCAGCAGGGATGACCCTGCAAAATAACATTATGAATCTGCATCATGTGATACATGGTATAGTGAAAAATTAAAGTACATGCCAATCTATGAGTGCCAATCCAGGGGTGGGCAAAATATGGCCTGCAGGCCACATCTAGCCTGCCAGGCCATTCTGTCGAGCCTGTGGGGCCCTTAAAAAATTCAGAAAATATTTGTGTGTGTAGGGAAGAACTTTGTGTATGTAGGGAGGGGCTGTGTGTGTTCGTAGGGTGAGTCCTACATGCACACCCCACCATATGCATGCACCCACACACCCCCTCGCACTGCCTTACACATGGACCCCACACCCCCTCACACAGCTCGGCCACCCTCCCACCAAATATCTTCCCACAAACCCCCTACCCAAATGCGTAAATATATGATTTCTGAGTCTCTTTAAATGAAAGTAGAAATCACTACATGTAAAAGTCTATGTGTTGTATGTTGTATCAGAGGGATAATAGGTCACATAATAATTAAGTCTTATGTCCTGTATATAAGAAGAAAACAACCCACAATCACTGTGTACCTATCCTGTTTTTGGTTAGGTCTACAGTCCCTAACCTGTTTCTGAGGCTACTGGCAGATATTAAAATAATGGTGCAATGGGACCAGAAGACTTTTATGCCCCATTCCAAGCATTACACCTTCTACCATACACATCTAGCATGACAGGAGGTGCAGTGTTTGAGATGGGTCATAAAATATTTTAATCCTAGTTGCACCACTGCAGAACTGCCCCCAGGCCAATCCTATGGGCTCTGGGGCTTTCTGGTACCAATGCTGATTGTTGGCATCAGCCCCAGATCTAGCTCCAATCCTAGGTCAACATCAACAAATAGACTCAGAGCTGTCCAGGACTGGGGCTGACTTTGAAGTGCCTGCCAGATCCAGGACAGCCCCCAGCCATATTCCAGCTGAATGTCAGCTTCAGGATAGTGGGGCATATCATATGTTCAATTTATGGCACTATAAAAAACAACCACAAAGATGTTCCACATATTCATGGAATATCTTTATGGCTGGCTTGCCATTTTATGGCACTATAAATTTGATGTGTGTGGTATATTATTATTTATGGCACAACTAACATGTTATTCATGCAATAAATGCAACAAGTGCCAGGGACCTGATGGGCCACACTTTACAACAGATTGACAGATAAGAACTGTCTTCCTTTCTACCCTCTCAATCTAGTGCAGGTTCCAACCCTTCGATATTTTCTACTACTACTTCTTTTGTCCTTTTCCCTTTGTGTTTCTTTTTTCCTTAATTATGGTTTTCTTGTTTTGTGGCTTCTACTGCTTGTTCCACATTCACCAGAAAGCTATGTGCTCCCTAATGTGGGAGCAGCTCCACAGGACTGGGCCACATGTGGAATTGCAGTTGTGGGAACCTGCAGCTGGCATCCAGACATGTAGCTCTATATGTATGTAGAGGCAAAAATGGATGGTAATTAACTTTCAACATCCAGGTGTCACTTGCTGTTTTCCATTCCTATACTGGTGTTTCTATCATCACTGCTGTTCTCCTTTCCCTGTGTATTCTATGGACCAGTTCTGACATCTCCAGAGTACAATCTGTCCCCCAGGCTGGAAAAAACTTGAGTCATGAAGTATTCAGGGCAAGATATTTAAAATCTCTATAACAAAATGGTGATGGTGCACTTCCAGATTTTGGCAGAGGAATGAAAAGATTAAAGTTAAACAGGACAATATATGATAGGTATTCATATCCCCCTTTTGGGACCAGAAGTATTTCAGAGTGCTTATCAAGTCTGACATACTGAAAAATGAGAAACAGGCATTGTTTAATTAACTGCAAAAACAAAGGCCTTTTTAGACTGTAAACTGTAGGGAGAAGAAACCTTGTTTTCTGTGGAGTATCTACATGGTTTTGGAGCTTCCCTAGTAGTGGATATCATACACTAATTTGTAACAGTAACAAACCTCTAGAAGAGGTTTATAATCAAAGATCCTCCAGGATAACAAAAATCATGTCACCATAATGGGTTTGACCATGCTTGGTCTTGTATGTGGGCCCTGGGTACAGAGTGTGCAAGAAGGTCCTGCTGATTCCTTGTCCCTCAACACAGCAACCAAGTACAATTGTAGTTAGAGAGCACGTATTCTATGTGAATCTACCACTGTCTAAGTTACTCTTCCCTTCAAGTGCATGGAGAGCAAAGGAATGCTCAGATTTCTCAAGCCTAGAAGCTGTCAAAAAGGGTGCAGAGGAGAAAATAGGGGCCGTGCTTCTCTCTGTTCTTAGACAAAGTTAATGACATAATGAACAAAACTACCAAAGTCCTTAAGAAGATAATAACTTTGTGATTGTGGCATGAAGGGAAATGCAAAATTTATCATCCCTTGAAGTCTGTTTTAATACACACTTTGTAGATGACTAGGGAGGGGGAAAAGTCAGTAAAATACAGCTCTGTAATGCCTAGCCCAAGTTTATAAAGAATAAAAAACAGTTTTTAAATAAACTAAAAACCTGATTTTTGTAGATTGTACATCAAATAGGTAATGACTGTATATTTTAAGTAATTATGTTTTCCTCTTTCTTATTTCAGCCCAGAAGATGGTGAGATTCACCCTGAAATCTGTAGACTATACATCCAGTTGCAGTGTTGCTTAGAAATGTACACAACAGAGATGCTTAAATCTGTATGTCTGCTAGGATCCCTTCAGTTTCACCGGAAAGGTACTGACCTATACAACTACACCACATGCATTAGCATTATTTTCAAAACTAATCTCTCTTTGTAATTGTTCTTAGAAGTACATATGGTATGTATGGCACCAAATTCTTGAATCATCTGTACTACAAAAGAGCATAATCAGCTTATTTGACCCAGATGGGAAGGTTTAGGCCTTGGTACCAATAAACAAGGTAGACCATACATTTACTGGAATAAATAGACTAGAATAGAAAACTCTGAAAATAATCGATTCAAGAGTTTTAGAACACAACTTTTTTATATTCATTTGTCTGCTTGAGCTGTTCTAGTGCTTTATGAGAGTTGCAAGTAGAGTGTCTCACATCTGCACTTTCCTCCCTGCACTGGTCTTCTTGGCTAGACTACCCTCCGATCACACAACATGGTCAGAGGATGACTGTATGATATCAATTCAACTAGAAGACATCACAGGAAAAGTAGTCCAGCCAAGGAATGTGGTCTATAGTAAAGGTTGCTTAACACTTTCTACTGTTGTTTGTCTTATAACCACCACCATTTTAATACGGGGGAGTGGGGGAGTTTGATGCCTGCCTCAGGATTTTATTTTGTCTTGTCTTAACATGTCTGTAAAAATTAATTTTATTCCCATGAGCTAAGTTTGGAAAAGTTACCATATTTCTATGTAAGAAATATTTTTATTACATTTTTGAAGAGCGTTTATCACTTCTATTCTTTGGTTTATGGATCTGAAATTTGGTAGGGTGAGAACACTTGGGAACAGTTAGGTACTTTTTGGTCTCACCAGATTTTTTTCTTTTTTCTTCTCTTCCCAGATTTAGTCAAATTATAAGCTTCTCAAAAATTAATTTGCATATTCAGTAGAATTTCAGAGGCTTTCTGCACAGATCACCATGTATTCAATTTATGCTGAATGTTCTGAGGCCCACACAACCCTGAACTGTAGTTTCCAAAAGCTTATTTGGGCCATGTTCACTTTCTTCCGGAAGAGTTGCAAAAATAGCCACTTTAAGAGAAAAAAATAACCTGGAAATAGCCAGGGTTAAATCACTCCCAGGAGAATTTATCCTGAGAGAATGAATGTCTGTACACATTCTTCTGAGAGAAGCCACAGCAGTGTCCTCCAGCACCACGGGGCACTTTGTTCCTACACTACTCCATGGAAGGCAATCTGGGTCAGCCAGTCAGGGCAGAGCTGCCCTGTGTACTGCTGCCATCTATCTCCAGACAGACAGCAGGCTGCAGGGCATGGTGAGATATGTGCACAGGACAGTCCCCCTGGCTGTGCAGAATCAGCCCTGCAAGCTGTCTGCTTTTTAGGGGCTCAACATTCAAATGTCTGTTCAGGTGTCCCTAGGTAAGCTTTTCTACCTGGAGAACAAACCAAGAGAATTCTCATGTGTACACAGCTTCACAAACTCCTTCCTACTACAGACTACATATTAACTGCTAACACAGCACTATTCCTGTCTACTTCTTTATTTGCTGGGCAGTGACCCATGAAAAAATCTTTTGGCTGATTGGTGTTCATTATTAGGTTCACTTCACATTCCATATTCTTGAACAACACCTCACAACTGCTACAGGAAATAGTCAACTGAGAAATTTCTGGCAGAACCCTGTCTCCAATGAGACACACTCATCTCATCCAAGGCTACATTGCTTTTCAGGCTCCTTGTATCAAATCTGTGTGTGAGACTGTGGTGCCTCATCTACTAGATACACTTCTTTTGCAGAGTCAGGATTAGAATATTAGAAGCTGGATTCTTAGTTTTCAACTCTGTCCACTGACAGCATGTGGGTTCTGACCTCCCTATATATAGAGAATAAAAACGTGTTGATGTAGCAGTTGCTCCTTTAGTTTAAGTGACAGCGCTCTTTTGAAATGTACGCATCCATTTCTGAGTCTTTGATAGTTGTATCTACCAGTATCATAAAATCTAGGAGAGAACCAGTCATCAAAATTTTCACTCCCTTGAACGCAGTGACTACAAAAAGGTATGTGGTGGTTCAGGACAAACATTTGGTTGGTCATACTAACAAGGCTTATTGCCATATTGATTCTTTGATATTCTTGTTTACATTAGGCCACTAGTGCATGATTGCAGCTCAAATGCAAAATAAATGAACCTGGGAAGATTTCAGGAAGTTTTTCTTTCTTAAAACATATACTGCTACATTTTCAGAAATGATAAATCTTGTATGCTACATGAAGCATCCCTCCTTAGTGAAAATTAATTTTTCCTGTAAAATGAGTTTAATAGGTAATTTCACATTTGTTCAGCCATCCACTGAAAGTAAAGTGTAGAGTTTGACTGTTCATGTAGCCTGGCAGATTATCAGAGGTTATTGGTTAATTAAGACCATACTTAGGCTAGTTAAGCTACATTTTCTCTTGATAATACTCCCTCAGATTATACTAACATTCATTTTAAAGGAAAGACAAAAAAAATCCAGTTTTATTAGCATTTTTAATGAACACTTGATAATTGGTGTCATACAGAGAGGTCCCCAAATGGATAGACTGCCTCTAATTACATGACATAATTAACGGTGGAGTTCCTTTTTTCACTTCAAGAATTAGATTTGTGATTGGTGAACAGAGTTTATTTTAGTAATGTAGATTTGCATAAAAACATCTGCACTCAGATAATGATAACTAAATCTCCTCATGGGCTAGGGACAGACATTCAAAAAGCCCAAGTCTGAATTGATTCAATCTTTACAGGTTAGTCGAACCTTAGTAAGCTGAACCAGCTCGAAACTGGAGAGACATTCTGTCTGGACTGAGGAAACTCAGGCACATAGGCAGTGGCTCAGGCTAGAAGCCGGGGAGGGGGTGCTAGAGCAGGCCTCCCTTCCTTTCTGCACAGAGCTGAGCTGAAGGGGGCATGGCCAGGCCATAGCAGGACTCTTTCATTAGGGAGGTCTGCCTGCACAGTCCCAGGCTTTTCCCAGCTGGCTGCTCAAGGGTTGGGAGTGTTGCAAGCCCCCAGCTAGCACTCTGAGGCAAGGGGGATGGGGTGCAGTGCATGTATCTGTTGATGATACAGAGCTTTCCAATCTCCCTCCCTGCTTCGTCATACTGTCTGTAGCAAACTGACAGGCAAGCAAGCCAGCTGGGTGCTGATAGTGATAACAGTTTTTATCACCTGATTAACAAAACAATGGCCTTTCTCCATTACTTCAAACTTCTTAAACAGCTTACCAGCTGACATGTTGATTAGCTCCAAACAGCCCTAAGCAGTCTCTGTTCTGTCTGCCTGCCCCAGTGAAATTGGAGAGACACACACCCCCATCACCTCTTGGCTTAGCTAGCATACCACATGCCTAGGGTCTGTGGGGCTGGGGTGCGTGCTGTGGGAGATGGGAGGGACGGAGGGTGGGGAATTTCTTGCTTGAGCAGTGAGGGTGGGGTAGGGCAGGAGGAAGCCAGGAAGACCTTGCTGTGTCTGCAGTCTCTGCTGGAGCCTTACACAGCATTAACTAGCATACCACATGCTGGTTATGGTCCATGCTGTGGGAGAGAGAAGGAAGGGATCCCTGCTTAAGCAGGGAGTGATGAGGGGACGGGGGAAGGAGGGTATGGGGAAGCCAGCAGACCCTGCTGTGCCTGCAAGTCTGTGCTGGAGCTCTGGCCAGGGAGCAGAGGGGAGGGGCCAGCCCTGCTGTGAAGCACAGAGCTCTGCCCAGCTCAGACAGCATGCTGGGATGCTGGGGGACTCTGATTTAAACTTAAACCAGCAAGGGGTCTGGGATAGACCTTGCATAAACTGGATTGACCCAAATCTGTTAAGGCTGATGCTACATTCAACCAGGTTTATCTGAAACCAGTTTCAGCCATTTTCAAACTGATTTATGTGCTTTGAACATCTGTTCTGTTACAGGTTTAAACCAGTTTCTGATCACTTAAACCGGTTTATGTGTAATGTCTGCCCCTAGCCATGTAGTTTGTACACTGATACTTAGCTGAGTAAGAAATGGATGAGCTCCTGAGACTAAAAGCAAGCTATTCCAATTTCCCACACCAGAAGAAGAACCACAGACACTTTGAATTAAAGCAGTAATGCAGCTGTGGTATACCAAGATATCAGTGGTTACCAAGCAAGTTGTGGTTTTTTTTTAATGTAATTGAAAGATTGTGTTGCACATCCCAGCAGCTGTAATTGATAATAGTTTATTTGGGAGATTTACCAGCCTAGAGTGATTAGGATAGTAGAAATATCCAACCTACTCTTTAGTAATGCTTATTTGTTTAAAGTCACCTTTTTACCAAGTTTTAACCATATTAGTTTTAAGACTGCACAATTATGTCCTATTATGGGGGTGGGGCATGATAGCTTTAAGGGATCAATTTTATCATGTACAGACTTGGTGGTAGCCACAATAATTTAGCTCCAAACATCTAGAGCAATTAGTGGATGAAGTTTTATTAAATAAACATGATACAGTTTTACCAAGTGGAGGTGAATAAATCAGGATTTTGGTACTGAGCAAAAATATATATTTTTATATATGGAATATTTCTTCCTCATCCTAAATTCTAAGGGCATTGTGCAAAGGTGTGATTTACCTCAGTTTTAAAGGCAGAGAAAATTACAGCATGATACAGAAACAGCTTCCCATTGCCATACATCATCTCAGTGGTTGATCTGGAAACAAGACCCGATTTTCACAATTCCCAGTCCTTGGTATGCAGCACTACCAGAAGAGAGATTCTTCTGTGGTTATAATCCTTTTACCTCAGATGCTTAAATATATTTAACATACATCCTATTTGCTGAAAGTTTTAAATATCCATTTCTATGTGCATGTGGTAGCCCATATGGAGGTAGGCCCTTATTAAAAACCTTTAAGTTTAATCCAAATACAGACTATCAATCCTTCACTCCCCTTAATTATTGCCCTTAAAAGTTTCCTTAATTCTCACCACTCACAGTAGAAGAGAGAAAAGGGACAGATTTACAGACTGACTTTTTATTGTCACATGCTAAAAGTACTTCAG